CTGCTACTTCCTCTTGCTGCTGCCTGCTTAGAGACCCAAGCAGGATGAAAGCATAATTTATTTCCCTTCCACCTCCCACAGCTGCTCTGTGTAACATTTTATTATAATTTAAGTGTTTTGTCTTATTTAAATTATTGTTGTTTAACTTTATGTGTCACAAGAATTTGGGCCTTAATCATCATCATCATCATCATCATCATCATTATTTGTAACCTATTCTTGGGCCGGCACTTCACCTCTGTGACTTCACTTTCTCATGTATAAAATGGATGAGGTTCCATTCCTCTCCTCCCTCTTCTTAAAGATGTGAGAATTGTATTAGAAATCCATGTGAAAGGTGTTTGAGCCTTTTGTAGGGATGTCACACCTTTAACCCAAGGTACTGATAATGGATGTTATTATGGAAAACAATACTATACTACGGCTATTGAATTTCCATAGACAAATATATTTTTGTTTATAAAATCTTCTAACTGTGTTTTCTTGTGCATATATGGGGAAGCTACAGCAACTAAAGTGAGATGGTGCTAAAGTGAGGGTTGGAGGGGATGGTAAACTCTAGAGGAGGCAAGAAGCTCATGGTTGTTATCCTTCCTGGTTTAGCTGGAAAAGCCTTCATTTTAGTGCAAACCAACCAAGGTCTCCTTTGTAAGAAGCTATTCCCTACATAAAACCCAAAGCTGCCTCCCCATACCTTCTACTCATTTATGTTCTTGACTCCCCTACCCCCAGGTCTAACAGCCCAAACCTAATTTCTTTCAAATCCCAACCCTTCATGTTTAAGAAGACAACTCTTATAGCCCTTTACCCTCTGCCCAAGTCATCCCTTATTTCAGATGAATATCTCCACTTTCTCTAACTGGTGCTCCCATCTTCTACTGTTCCCATCATGCCCTACAATAGCTCCAGCTAGTCAATGTCCTTTCTTTAGGGTGGAAACTTGTTAACAATTCCCAACCTGCTCCTCAGTGGATAGGAGTGTTCCGAAAGCTTGCAAAATGGTACCTGGGAATTTTAGCATCACAGCCCAAACCAAGGAGAAAGTGAATGAGTAAAGAAGACTGATTCTTCTGGGCAACCCCAGGGAAAAGGTGAGGAACAATTTTGAGAGAGGGCCAAGAGGAAAGTCTTTTGCTGGTCTTATAGACATACAAGGCATCATTTTGTCACCTGCTCAGCTGCTGTCCCCTCCAGACCTGTGGACTTTCAGAGCCTCTGCCCTGGGGATGTTAATTCACTTAGCTTTAGAACTACCACCTTGGGGCTAAGCTGACCTGCTTGTTAAGGGAGGAACTGCACACCCATAAAGCCCCCTGTATCTAAGCAGCCATAGACCAGACTCATCCTTGCATCCCATCTAACCATCCATCCAGGCCATTTTCCTTCTTTTTAAAACAATTAGTTATTTAGTATTTTGTTTTCCCCCAATTACATGTAAAAACACTTTTTTTACACTTCTTTTTAAAATTTGGAGTTCCAGATTCACTTCCTCCCTCTCCGCCCTCCTTGTTGAGAAGCCCAGGCCATTTTTCTTGACATATTTCCTGTAGTCACATACCCAAAGCCTAATTTATCATCAGAAAAAATATCAGTGGGGTGGGAAGAGAGGAAGCAGAGCAATTGGGGGTGGGAAGATTTGGGCAGTGTGTGTGTGTGTGTGTGTGTGTGTGTGTGTGTGTGTGTGTGTGTGATATTGTCAACAGGGAGACAAGAAAGAGTCAAACTCTCTTGGGATAAGATGGGGCCCCAGGGAGCTAGTACTCAAAATATAGTTGACAAGATTTCTTTTTCTTTTGAAAAAAGAATCACATTCCAATTGATGTCTCATCCCTGTATTTCTCAGCAAGACCTATGAAGCCACATTTACCATATTATATTAGGATTTCTTATTCACTTTCTTCATTTACTTATTCCAACATCACCAGCTCCTGTTCCTATCTGCCTCTGGGATTCCAAATATCTCTGAGTCATGGTGCCATTAGGCCATGATTTCTCTTGCTTGCAGGCTTGCATTCCAACACCCCCTTATCCTTGAAACAGCAGATAGATTGATGCCCTGGACAACTGAGGTCCCTACTGAGATCTGGAGGGCTACAGGGAGACCATAATTGCCTAGACTCACTCTCCAATTGTAAGTGTATCTCCATCTTCTCTTATGCATATCACAGTGATTCTGAACCTCCAACTACCAAAGTACTAACATCATTCCTCAACTCTTATCTATTCCCTCATTCTCATCCACTTCAAGCCTACCCCCGATGTCCCACTCCAGGTCTCCCTGTCCCTCTCACTGTAGCCTATAGAACTCCTACTCTGTAATGAACATACTTCTTTCCATTGTAGATACTTTTTCTCATGTTCCTTTCGCTTTCTGGCACTCACTTAGACATCATTCTGCTCCCTCTCCCCCGAATGACAGAATCTCAAACTTTCCACTGCTGGTTGCGCCTTTGCTCAGACCACCTTGACTCACTGTGGGTTCTGGTGAGAATCAGTATATACTTTACTTGCCCATTAACACTTCCAGACTATCCCCTAAGCACCTGTTATCGTTATCATATTTGAGTCATTTCAGTCATGTTTGACTCTCTCTGCCCTCATTTGGGGTTTTCTTGGCAAAGATACTGGAGTAGTTTGCTATTTTGTCCTCCAGCTCATTTTATAGATGAGGAAACTGAGGCAAACAGGGTTAAGAGATTTGACCAGGGTCACACAGCTAGTAAGTGTCTGAGACCAGATTCAGTTCGGGAAGATGAGTCTTCCTGACTCTAGGCCCAGGGCTCTATCTACGTCACCACCTAATTGCCCTTAACACTAACACTTACCAACCTCTTCTCCACTGAGATTCACTCCATCTAAATTTCTTACCTAATTCAGACCAAGGTGTTATTATCAAGTGACCCCTTCTTCTATGCCAGACATTCCCCTTCCTTTCTCGAAGAGTTTGATGTCTAGTTCATATTTACCTCTAGCCCACCTCTTGCATCACAAGAGTCCTGACTCTCTCTCTGGGGCCCCCACCTTCTGCCAAAAGGGTTTCCTCCTTTCTTGCCTCATGGTTGGCACCCACATCCCACGCCATGATATATTTTCCCCTTCCTACTTTGTCTCCACCCTGCAGGTATGACCTAGTACCATTGAAAAATGAGAGTTCCACACAGGGATGTGCATGAACCAGCTCACAAGAGAGCCAGTGGCTAAATGTTAACTGAGCATTTACCCCTTCACAAATGCTACAAATAAAGACTTGATTTATTATTTTTTTGACTGTCTAGACTTAAGAGAATAATGGAGAAATTATTAGCAAGGAAGATTAAATTTTAAAGTGGGTCATGCCTTTGTAGAGAGCAGCACACAACCTTGGTGTTGGCCTGTCCAAGGTGGGGACTGCTGACTCTCTCACCTCTTCTACAGGGGGTCATCTAGCCTTTGGGAGAGCATCAAACGAGACCTTACTGTCTTCTAAATTCATCTGACCATACCTCCACCACCTCTTTTCCTTAATGAATAAATGAGTGAATGAAACAATCTTTTTTAAAAGCACACTGTGTGCCAAGCACCATGCTAGGCCCTGGCAATAAAAATACAAAAACTGAGGTAGTGCTTGCCTTCCAGGAGCTCACATTGCAATAGAGGAGACAATATTTCAAGAGTCAGGGCTGGAAGATGTCTTTTGGGAAATCACAAGGATAATGAGTGAGGCCATGGGGAGGTTGTTTGTTATGCCTTCTCCAGAAGCCATGGTAAAATTGATTTGATTGAAGCTCCTAAGTCAAGAGGGAAAGGGGATGAAGGGTGTATTAGATATGTGGCTGCAGGGTACATGGCAAGAAGATGGCTCGGATGGATGATTAAATGGGATGTGAGGACAAGTCTGGTGTGGGACTGCTTAGCTACTGGGGCTTTGTGAGGTGAATTCACTCCTTTATCCATAAGGACAGCTTAGCTGGAAGGGTGGAAGTTTCAGTGCTGAGTGGATTCAGTCCTCCAAGGCCTGGACTTTGGAGGGAATCTTATTTGAAAGAGCGTCTTCTTGGTAAATGGCAAAATAATGTCTTGGTGTGAGTGCCGATCCTGAAAGGAACTTTGTGCATGACCTTCTTCCACTCTTGTTCCTCACCTCTTCCCAAGTGTTTCTTCCTTCTTTACTAAGCCTTCTTCTCTCCAACCTTTCCTGAGTGTCCAGATTCCAAGTTACAGTCTGGTAAGCTTTTAGAACATACCTGTCCAATGGGGAGCAGGCTGGGGGAGGGGATCATAGTGAATTTCTGCATTAATGAAACAATACTGATAAGCTGGAGCAAAACCTCAAGACCCAGTGAGCATCTGAGAAGATGGGAGACCCTCCTTTTGGAACCATGTGAAGGGGACATATATCTAGAGAAAGGGATGGTATACAGGGAGTCTAGGGGCATGAGAAATGTCTTCTTATATATGAAGGGTTGTCATTGTATGGGTGTGGGGAGACAGAAAAAGGCCAAATGAATGCCAGGTATAGGGAAGCAGTTTTTGAATTTAATATAGGAAATGGCTTCATAGGAAGGAGCACTGCATGGACCTTGAAAAGGTTGATCAGGAAGTAACAAATGTCACTTAGTGGAGCAGTTTAAATGGGAGTTTTATTGTAGAGGGAATTCTGGCTTCTTGTACAATTTTCCCTAAATTTTCTCTGAGGCCCCCTCAGACTGAGATTCTGTAACCTTAGGATTCTAAATCAGGACTGACAATGGAGAAAGCCATGTGGCCAACCAGGTCATTTTGAAGTAGAAAGGGTAGGAGTCAGGATTGTGAAGGATGAGGGAGGCAGAAATGAGCATCGGTAGCAGGATATTGGAACTTTCTCATTCCATCCCTAGCCCTGAAATGAAGATTTTTCTGGCTAAGCCAGAAAGGAGACTCTTGCATCTTCTTCAGCCTGCTGTAACCTCCAATCCTCACTTTAGCTCCCTCCCACCCTGGTAACTATAGCCTCCCCATATATACACAAGAAAACACAGTTGTCAGGTTTTATAAACAAAAATATATTTTCTATAGAAATTCAATAGACATACTGTAGTATTATTTCCCATAAGGACATTCATTATCAATACCCTGGGTTCAGAGTGTGACTTCTGTTCAGAAGCTTCAAACACCTTTCACATAGATTTTCATACCAATTTTCACAGCATCTTTTTGAGGTAGGGAAGAGAGGAAGCGATCATTGCCTAATTTACACGCACAAAGTCTAAGGCACAGTAGTGAATTAACTGACCCAAAAGTACATTACAAAGAAATTACAACAAAGACAAAGTCTTGAGGCACAAAAAGCTAAACACTAACAATTTAAATAGGACAAAATATATTTAAATTATAATGAAATGTCTCAAAGGGCAGCTGTGGGAGGTGGGCAGGAAATAGATTATTCTTCAACCCTGCTTTGGAATCAGGTCAAGCAGTGCTGGGTGTAAGGGTCAGGAGCCTTCCTGGACTCTGGGTCTTGGCTTTCTGGCTGTCTAGTTGTTTCATAATACGTTGGACCCACTCCTCCTTGGGGTTAGCACAGATGTCGAGGCCTCGTTTTGTGATAAAGCTGTAGAGGAAAGAACCCTTGGTGAGTGGTTTTATGGATTCAGCCCAGGAGGATGAAGCATCCTACCCTAATCCTGCTCTCTCTTCAATGACCCTCCTAGTACTGGGATTAGAAAAGAAAACCCAATGGGAACTGCTCTCAAGAACATCCCCCCAGGCCCAAAAGAAACTGTCCTATATCCTGGGATGTCCTAATCAGATATGAGTCTGAGCAGACTAAGAAAGAATGGTGGTGACTGGAGATTCACTTTGTACCCCACTTTCTTCGATTTGAAGTTAATTGCATCCCTCATTGGGCTCCTTATATGAGAATGTAAGAGGAGGGAGGGATATTTGATGTATCTCTCTTCCCTTCTCCCTAGCCCCATTCTACAGAGGCAGGCACTGAGGCCCAGAGAATGTAAATGGCTTGTCCAGAGCTACTCAGGGACAAAGTCAGATGTAGACACTCAGAATATCAGATCAGAACAAATGTGGCTCATGTTTCTGAAAGAACACTAGAGGAAAGTCAGTGGCATGGGTTCTAAAACCAGCTCTTCTGATAATTTGCTGCATAACCTGGGGGGGGGAGCACTTCAGCTGTATGGCCTTTCATTTCCTCCTTTGTCAAAAGAGCTAGCTGGACTAGATTCTGTTCAGTCACTGTGATGGTCCCTCCTGCCCTAGTATTTTATGGTTCTAGGATTGTACCCTGCATGTGAATTAATTAACACAAGTGGAATTGATATATAAATTGTTCATGCTGCTTGTTCTTTTCATCAGTAGCAGTGATAACCCCAGTGAGGGAACTGGTTTTTATGTTTGACCACAAAAAGGTTGGAAGGTCTGAACTCGTCATATTTCTCCTCCCACCTGTCAAATCTGACTTCTGCCTTCCCTGGTCCCTAGTGAATGACCGTTGTAGAACAGTAGGTGAAGGGGAAAAAAATCTAATTAACTTACACAACTCCTTTCTTGCCACACTGGCTACTGGTTGTCTTATAGGTTACCACAAATTTTAAAGGGATATTTCTGCTGGTGAAGTGGAAACAGCAAATGGTTGGGATGCCAGGACCAACTGAAAGAAAACCAAAAAGAATGGTTTAGCAGTATTTAGCATTTGTTCTTCTAAGTGTGAGTATTTCAAGAAAGGAAAGGGAAAAGAAGGGAAGGTACAAAGTCAAAACATCTTCAGTCTCCATTCCAAGTGGTGTTGTCTGCTCTCGGAACTACGGTACATTCCCAGGACAAGACCGAGGATATTCTGGGTGGGCACAGATGCGCATGATCTCTGACCCACCATAAATTACTGAAGCCCCTTATTTTTCTCATGAATAAAATTGGGAAGCCTTGTTAACATTGCTTTCCAATGCCAATCTGCTATGCTCCTAAGATGTAATTAGGAAGTACGAATCATTAAATGGATCTAAGGGACTTCGGTACCCTAGCTTTAGTACAAAGAGGTGCCAGATTTGGAAATGTCTCTATGACCTTCTTACTCCTCCCCAAGCCACTATTCATGGGATTTGTGCTAATGCATAGAGGACAGAATTTTAGCTAATGCAATGTCAAATTCATCATCAAGTTAAATTTCTAGGCCCCTAAGCAAAATATGGAGAAGGGTTTGGGTTCCTATCCAGCTTTAGAAACATCTTTACCATACATCAAGAGAATTCTTCTCAAGTGTGTCACTGATCATTATACGGACTGTTGAGGGGGCAACTAAATGGAGGAGTTTTAATTGAGACATTGAAAAGCATAGGGAAACAGGAAGGTCACTGGACTGTAAGGATACCTGGGTTCTAGCCCCAGGTCTACCACTAACTAACTGTATGTAACGTTGGAAATGCTATTACTTCTTTCTGGATCTCAATTTCCCCTTCTTTAAAATAAGAGATCCCTTCCACCTCTGACATTTGAAGGTAACACAAAAATGAAAGAACATTCCCTATGAATCCCCAGGTGGGAGGGAAAGAAATAACACTTACAGGGTGAGGCACGGACTCGACAGCAGAGGGCAGCAGCAATGACAAGTAAGGAGAGAACAGCGCCTGAGACTTTCATGGTGCTAGCCGAGAGAAGAAAGGCTTGAGAAGTGGGTTCAGAAGCTTCCAAGTTTTCCTCTGCTAAATTGTGACTCCCATCTCCCTTTTATTGGGAGAATGAGGGGAGAAGAGGATACACATCAGTCAGAGACGTCATGGAAAATGAATGACAAGGAGACTCCTAAGTTGGCCGAGCACACAGCTGGGCTCTGAGGAGTTTTCCAGGAACTAAGAGAGAGAAGCAGTGGCCTGTGGCTCTGCATAACTTCTGTATTACTACTGAAATGATAAGACCATGGGGGAAGTGGTCTATTCTTAAAGGCCCAGCTTCCTCTGAAATTAGAGACCTTTCCTAGGAAAAGAAGGAAGCAGGGAAACTAAGTTGAGAAAGGAGTGAATGATTCTATTAAAAGCTTTTCCCCTTTTCCCATGTTTGGAGAAGGAATAGCCAGATTTTAAGGATAGAAATGAAGGAAGCAGATTTTCTCCCAGCCAGGCTCTGGACCCTGGTAGTGCAGTTCATAGTTTTGTTGGATCTCCAAGTTAATAAAAGAAGAGTGAGTCAATGGAAAGAGAATGCCCTTTTCTTCCTTAGACTGGCCCTCTCTAGGGGAGAATTGAAAGAATGCACAATAGGGAAATGTGATTTGGTGCCACATTATAGAATGGCAGCATCATGAATTTAGACTTTTTCCAGTGGGTACTGGGGAGCAGCTTAAGGCTTTTTAAGCAGAAGATGGTCATGTTCCAAATGGCAAAGTTGATCTAGCTGAATCTGTCTCTCTGATGCTCTACTTTTCCAGTCTGGTCTCATACTGTTCCCCTTCAAAGCTCTGTCTTATATTACATTACTTTGATCATTTTTCATCCTCAGTCTTGTCCTATTCTCTTGCATTTCTGTGCCTTTTTGCTCAGGAGACAACATGATATAGTATAAAGAGCACTGAACATTAAATTAGAAAGCCTTTTTCAAAACCTGACTCTGCCACTTATATAGCCTTGTTATTATTATTGTTCAGTCATTTCAGTTGTGTTCAACTCTTCATGATCCCATTTGGGGTTTTCTTGGAAAAGATACCAGAGTGGTTTGTCATCTCCTTCTCCTTCTTATTTTACAGGTGAGGAAACTGAGGCAAACAGGGTAAAGTGGCTTGCCCTTGTAAAGGGTCACACAGCTAGTAAGTCTCTGAGGCAATATTTGAACTCAGGAAAATGAGCTATCTTGACTTCAGGCTCAGCACTCTATGCACTCTGGTGCTACCTAGCTGCCTTGACTTTGGGATAATCTACTGGGTTTCAGTTTCTTCCTTGGTAAAATGAGACGATGGACTATCTGAGTTTTAAGGAGCCTTCCAATTCTGACACTGTCTAGTTTTATGGCTTAGAGATTTCCTAGATGGGGATTTGTGTTTATTTAATGTGCAGAATCCCCCAAAGGACAGATTCTAGGCCATGTCCAATGGGAAGCAATGACCACCTATGCCTCTTCCAAGATGATTTCATCATCCTTTGCATCAGCCACATTGAGTACTGACTGGTTACCTGCAGAGATATCTTCAGGCTCAGATCCTCTCCCCACAGGCTGAGGAAGATTCTTCCCTTTGTTTTTCCTATCTTGGCTCCTGTATTTCAGCTAGGTTGTAGAAGTAGAAATACCTCAATTATCCTCAGGAATGCCCTCTAAGGAACAGAGATTTCTTCCAATTATAAGGGAGTCATAGCATTTTTTTTGTTGTACCCTTATACTTTTATGCAGATGTTACAGTAAAAAGAGGAGTCTATTTAAATTCATGAGGATCTTGGTTCAGATCCTGGATCTCCTACTCCCAGAAGCACTATGACCTCTGGCAAATCACTTCCCCTCCCTGACTTAGTTTTATCCTCTAAAAACTTTGGAGGTTGGACTAGGTGATCTCTAAGATCCCCTAGATTACCTGGATAACACATAGGAGGTATAGATAGGTAGGTATATGGGGCCTACTGCTCAATATAGATAACCTGCTCCTGCAGTTATTTGACTTTACAACAGTACCCAAGCCTTTCTTCTTTCCACAAAATTAGTTTAAAGGATCATAGATCTAGGACTGGAAGGGATCTTCTAAGTTATCAAGTCCACCTGCCTCCTTTTAAAGATGAGGAAACCAAGGTACAGAGCAGTTAAGTGACTTGTCCAGGATCACACTTGTCTAGGAAGTATCTGAGGCAATATTGGAATTCAAGTTGTCCTGCCTCCAAGGCCAGAGCCCTATCCACTCTATTAAACATATATGTAGAGAAAGTACTTCTGAGGTAGGGAAAATTAGTGTCCTGAAATAGGAGCAATTATTTAGCAAATATTCATGGATTTCATCCAAAACCTTAACACACAGCAGCTTAGCTAAGGGATTCCTATAGTTAGAAGTTAGATGAACTAGAAGATCTGTGATGTCCCTTCCAGCCCTATGGTTCTAGTTTTCTATCCCAGAATGTAAGCTCCCTGAGGGCAGGGGTCCTTTCATAGTAGAAAGAGTAGTAGAATTTGCTGTCCAAACATCTTGGTTCAAATCAATTTCCCTCATTGTTTGTGTGACCCTGAGTAAATCACTTAACCTCTGTGAACCTCATTTTCCCTATCAGCTCAATGCTGATAATAATAATAATAATAACAATGATGATGATGATGATGATATCTTCTCCCAACTTTGGGGTATTATGAGAGAAGTACTTGTAAACTTGAAAGGGTAGTTATTTTCTGTCTAATGATCTTAGCTGCTGACCAGACGTTAACGGTTGGAGTAAACCTAAAGCAAGTACTTAGTTATAGTAAGACAGGTTTAGATTAATGAAATTCCTGATCTTCAGACTCAATTCTCTAACATATAGCAGGCAGTTATGTGGCAAAGTGAACATCCCTCTTCCTGGCCCTGGAGTCAGAAAGACCTGAGTTCAAATCCAGCCTTATTCACTTTTTAGCTGTGTGACCATAGGCAAGTCATTTAACCCCTGTTTGCCTTAGTTTCTTCAATTGTAAAATGGTGATGATAATAATAACACCTATCTTCCAGGGTCATTATGAGGATCAGATGACATAATATCTTTAAAGTATTTAGAACACTGCATCCAACTTGCTATTATTATTATTGTTGTTACATTTCTGAGAAAGGAGATGGGTCTGGGGAGAGTATTTGTACATGGTTTTTGTATTTTGGTCACATGATAAAATAGACTAAAATAGATCTCCAACAGAATAACTGTGCTTAGAGCTCAGGGATTCCAAATTGGAGAGAAGACAGAAATTGCTGTGAAGTTAGAAGCCTCAGGCAACTGGGAACTTCTGTGAATAGAGACACATTGCTCTATTTGAAGCTACACTGGAGTGAGGAGACCTGGTACCCAGTTCCATTTCTGCTCTTAACTTGCTGTATGACCCTGGGCAAATCAGTCACCTCTCAGACTTTCAGTTTGCTCCTCTGCACAAATAAATTATTAACAGAGCAAAGGCTAGAAATGCTTCCAAGTGGCTAATGGATACTGCTCAGAATTATGTAGAGCCACTTCCATCAGCTAGCCTCCCATGAAGAAGCAACAGGGAGAAGAAAAAGAGAAAAGCTGGCCAGACTGCTGGAGAATGGCCAGGGAGGCTGCCAAACTTGTGAGCTTTGACGTTTCATTCTAAGTACTTACAGGAAGGTTTCTAGCCGTTGCATTCAAAAGTGAAACTCAAGGAGAGAAATTGCAAAACAATTCATCCCCGATGCAATTCTCTGAAGTCTCCGCTAAAATAAGATGGTCCTCTGGGGTGCTTTGTCAATCAAATGCTACTCTGGATTTCATGGTTCTCAATTTTGTCATAGTGCACATTTGTATAAATCCTTAAAGTTCCCAAGTGCTTTACATGCATTATCTCATCTGATTCTCATGACTCTGAGAGATAAACACTGTTATTATTATCCTCATTTTACAGATGAGGAAATCCAAAAGGCGAGCACTGGGAGATCTGAGGAATCTTTAAGTATTCTTCCCTCCTCCCCCCTCTACCTGATGTTATTTGTCTTTCATTCTCAAAGAGGACTATGGCATCAGGGAGCTGGTGCCATGATGTGCAAGTGCATTGGATTTAAGTGAGGGAGGGCTGTGCAAAATTCAGCTTCGCTTTCTCCTCTGGAGTCATCTGGGTCCAGTGGCAAGACATAGATCAGGACAATTGGAGATGGCCCTGGATGCAGTAGGAGACTTTTTTTTTTTAAGCTAAGGTCTTTAACAGGTCTCAGTTTGACTGAGGTAATGCCCAATCAGTGATTAAGGCTAGGTATGAAATGAGGCAGAGAGTAGCCTCTCCTACCTAGTCAAAAAAGAAAGGCAGAAAGAAAGAGAAAGGAAGGAAGGAAGGAAGGAAGGAAGGAAGGAAGGAAGGAAGGAAGGAAGGAAGGAAGGAAAAAAGAAAAAAAAATAAATCTGGGAGGGGAAGACGCTCAGGGTTTCTGGCCAAAAGCAGTTGTATATGTACATAGAGTGCTAAGCTTGGAATCAAGAATACCCAAGTTAGATGCTGCCTCCCCCTTGCTGCCTGAGTGATTTGTAGGAAGTTAGTGCACCTTGCTAAAACTCAGATCCCTCATCAGTAAACCTCACAAGGTTGTAGTCACTGTGAGGATCAAATGAGAAAATGCGTGCAAAGCTTTTGGGGAACCTTAAGGAGTTATACAAATATGAGAGGCATGAACCTCAAGTAGCATTTGGCTGACAAAGAGTCTATGGACTGTCTGAGTGAAAGGACCACCTCATTTTAGTGGAGACTTTGGACACAGAATTTGGTCTTGCTTTTGCAATCTATCTCTTTTAGGGTTTACTTTTGGTTAACATTTGGTTAATTTCTAAGGCCCTCTGGCATCCCCCAGTTCAATTCAACAGTTATTGAGGCCACTCTGTGTAAGGCATTATTCTAGGATCTGTGGGCTTGCTGCTTTGTCATTTCAGTCATATCCGACTCGCGTGACCCCATTTAGGATTTTCTAGGCAAAGATACTAGAGTGCCTTGCCATTTCCATCTCCAGCTCATTTTTTGGAGACAAACAGGGTTAACTGACTTGCCCAGAGGCAACACAATTAGTAAGTGTTTGAGGCAGCATTTGAATTCGGGTCTTCCTGACTCAAAGTCTCTATCTACTGCATCAATCAGCTGGAGCATAAGAGACATCCAGACTGTTATCCTTCCAAGCAGCAGGCGTCTATTTTATTCTCATGTCCCTTCCTGGAACTTCTGTCCCTTGGGCTCAGTAT